TGACCAAATTGCAACTCTACGCATCATTATCGAACAAAGCATGGAATGGCAATCAAACCTCTACCTCAATTTTACAGACTTTGAGAAGACTTTGATAGACAGCGTTGACCGCGAAGTAATTTGGAAACTACTCGAGTACTACGGAGTACCCCAAATATTCATCAACCTTATTCAACAGCTGTACGACAGTGGTACATGTCAAGTGATCCACAACGGAAAACTCAGTGAGGCTTTGGAGTAAACACAGGAGTCAGACAAGGGTGCTTTTTGCCATCAATGATATTCCTAATTGTGGTGGGCTGGATTATGCGTCAGACAGTGGGAAACGAGAAGACAGGGATATCCTGGATGGATATGAAGAACCTAGAAGACCTGGATTTCACGGATGATTTATGTTTGATGTCACACAAAATCGAAGACTTACAAGCGAAAACCGACAAACTGGTCGAAGAAGCAGCCGGTGAAGACAGAACTCCAGGCGAACATAGACAAAACGGAGGTTATGAAAATAACCAACCAACAACAACAACAACAGCAACATCCAGCGCCAATCACCACCAACGGGAGACATATGAAAGAGGTGACTTCATTCACTTATCTAGGGAGCATTGTCTCAACTACAGGGGGAACGGATGAGGATGTCAAATCGAGAACCGGGAAGGCGAGAAACACATCCATCAATCTGAAACCAATCTGGAAATCTTCGTCACTCAGCCTGCATCAACAACAAAATACGGATTTTCAATACAAACGTCAAGTCAGTTCTTCTATACGGATCAGAAACTTAGGGGGTCTGAACACAAAAGGACTTACCCTAGGAATATATTTGAAATTATTAATGAGTCAAGAGGTGAGAAAGCAAATGTAGGTCAAGTTGAAAGAACATATTAAAGGTGAAAAAACAATGAAGAACAATAAATTAAATAATAGAGGTAATAGTACATCTGCTGTAGTATTTAAACAAAGTTTACCAATGAAGGTTTAGTTTGATGACGAATTGTTGCTTTGAACGCATAAAGGTGGCTTAAACTTCTTTATTGCCAGCTAAGCCTTCTACAAACTTTAGGATATGCCCCAAACACGTTCTATAGGTAGGTTTAAAAGACGTGTTAACATCAAATTTATGTCCTCTCTCCTCTATAATATATTTCGCAGTAGACGGGCTATGTCTCCTGTTCTCAATATTAATGGGTTCTAAGGATTCTACTTGCTTCTGAAACCATTTAGGAATATGCTCTCAAGCCAGCCTTTGCTCGCAGAGATCGATGAGTCCTTCGCATGTATGTGTGTGGCCACACGTACATTTAAACTCGTAACTACAATGGGATATGATATCATTTGTCGCATGCTCAGAGGGCTTAGACAGTTATATTGGCTTCACATTCTCAATTACTCCGATATCAGCTGTATAAAATGTCTTTTTAACAACGGCGTTCAACCGTCGTCAAGTTATCAAGCTGCTATGATCACCCATATATGGTAGCTTGATGTACACGTCTTTCCTATTGGCGAGTTGGAGAGTGCGTCTTCGTGTTCGAATTGCTTTGTATCTCCTGATGAACTTGTCTGGATGATTGTTATCAACCGAAGTTTGTGTAAAATTGCTTTATTCCCCATCTAGCGTGTCTTCAGTGCATATTGATTGAATTCTACTGAAAAGGCACCTTACCTTACTAAGGCTTTTTGCACCGAATAAGGCAGAAACTATGATAATTTAAAAACTGTCCTGTTCAAGTAGTTTTTCTATAAATAGATAATTTTATTGATCTATCAAGCCGTCAAATAAGCAGTATATCTAGTAAAGATAAACAATTATCTTCCTTTTCTACAGATGTAAGTGATATGCTTTTTTGAACTTCATTCATTCGACTTAAAATTGAGAAGGCAGAACAAGGCGCTTATCACTTATGATTACAATGTCGTCTACATACCTTCCAAAAAGTGTCACATTTTCGATTAAATCCTCCGATAAACTCTCAGTGTATGACATCTGATATCTTCTAAAAGGGGCTCCACCGAACTTCTCAAAGCAACACCATCAACCTGATGAAAACAATCACCTTCAAATTTTAACCTAACATTTTTCTTTCGTTGAGGCTGGAAGTTCACGCTAGCCATACAATACAGGGTATAGTTCAGTTTCAGACCATAAAACATGAATTCTGGCCGCTGCAGTGAATTCTGTAGATTTCCACACCCATTTCAGAGTAATAAATGTCTGTCTTGACATTCCCATCTTTACCGCGAGTAGTTGGAAAGATACTGCTGAGATATATGTAGGAGGTGATTTCCCTTACATATTTTAGCCATTTCAATGAAGCTTTTCGTCACTTATCAACTTCATTTGGAGAATCATTGGCAACCAAGAAGGTTAACACACAGCTGGGCACTCCTGCTTTGGGACTCTTCGTCAATGTACACCCAAGATCCTACATCTAGGAATCGAATTCAGGGACTTCAGATTCGCCATTGAACCTTTTGGGTCAATATCCAATAATCTGTGAATGAACTGGCAGTATATAGGTGTCATCGACCCAAGCCATCGAAAGTGTAAAACACATGAACGTTTTCAATAAGTTCATGGTGTCATTTGATGCAACCTCCTTGTTTGCAATGATCCCAATCAATGAAACTATTGAGATCATTTGTCATCAGTCTGATCTTCTCTCACTCCTAGAGTCTGAATTCAAACGCCTACTGCTATTGTGTATCATGGATGCACAATTCCTGTTTGATAACACTCTTTACTGACAAATAGATGGCGTAGCTATGGGCAGTCCACTTAGCCCTATTTCGGCATACCTCTTCATGTCAAACCTTGAGAAAACAAAGTTGAAGTATGCGACTGACGAAACAACTTCTTTTTGTCGATATGTCGGTGACAAATTTATAGTGTGCAACAAAGAAAGTCATGCTTCCTACCTACTGATATTATTATTGAATTTACTAGGGAACATGAAAATGATGGAAAGTTTCATTTCCTCGACATTGCCATGCAACGCCTAGAAGATGGTGGTATCCAGAAGTCAATTAACCGAACGCCTACATGGAAAGGACTTTACCTACATTTTAATAGTTTTAGTCCAAATAGCTTTAAACCAGCAGTAGTCAAGACTCTATACCATAGAGCTAGGAGATTATGCTCCATATAGAAATTACACGAGAAATTTATGTTTGTCTAAAATATGTTGAAAAGCAACAGTTACCCTCAAAGTTTCATTAACAAGTACGGAAGGCTCAAATGTCAAGCAAATCACAATGGAAAATAGCCCATCTACATTAAACTTGATTTTAAAGGTGAAAATATCACAGCGATTGTCAACAGAAGATTGAGGATGCCACTAGCCAGAGACTATCCTGCAGCCAAGCCGGTTCTCGCCCATCGAACAACTTGCTCTTTGGTTCAATCAAAAGTCGACAGATATTCTTCTCATGTTAACCTCAACTGTATATACAAATTAACATGTATCTCCGGAAGCAGTTACATCTGGAGAACACGTACCAAAAACGTCTACATCTCAAGGGGACAATTGCTTTCAACAGCTCAATCGCCAGGCATCACCTTGACAGGGGTCATCAGGTGAACGTCGCAAGATCATTCAGAATTATCAATAGGCAAAAGAGTTCAATTCTCCTTAAGTTTGCCGAAGCAATCTCCATCAAGTGGTTGAAACTCGATTCATGTGTTCAGAAGCTTTCCTTGTCCTGGTAACTGGATGTTTTTATCTCCACTCTTTCATCTGATTACGTAACGCCAAAAGTTTCCATTGTATATGATGATTATTGTTAGAGATAAACTGTTTATTATTGTTATATACATTATTTCTGCGTTCGTATATTCATTGATTGTTGTTTAAAAATGATTATTATTATTATTACTGTTTCCTTTAATTCCTAGAGGAACATAGGGCTTCAGCCGTGCGTCTCCATTGCGCCCGGTTCTCTGCTGGAGTCTTCACCTGGCTCCAAGTCTGCCCACACGTTTTCATCTCCTCTTCACATGACCTCCTCCAAGTCACCCTCACCGTTGCACTGACGACCAACTTGCCACTTTCTTTTCGGCCGGGTTCCACTCGAGCAATGGCTTGTCTAGTGATGTCACTTGATGGTTTCCTCACAGTATGGCCAGCCAATCCATCTCCATTTCTTCCGGTCTATTTGTTGCACAATCGGTTCCTGCTGTGTTGGTTCGCTCATTGCCAGAGATCTCTGTTGCTGACCTTTTCTGGCTGGCCATTTGATCTTGAGTATTTAGCGAAGGCAACTGTTGGTGAATGTCTGTAGTTAGTTTGAGATGCTCTTTATGACGCGCCAAGTCTCTGATTCGTATAGTAGCACTGACTGACTTCACATTGGAGTTGAAAATCCGGATCTTATTTTTGATGCTGAGTGCTTCTCTTGCTTTTCCGATTCTTGCTTTGATATCCTCGTCAGTTCCGCTTGTAGTTGAAACGATGCTTCCCACGTGGGTAGGTAAAGGATGTTGTTTCTTTCAGGTTCCTTCCATTTATGCTGATTGTTGTCTGTTGTTGTTGTTGTTCTTGTCCAGGAATCTTTATCACCCCTGTTTTCTCTATGTTCACCTGAAGTCCTATCTTTGATGCTTCTTCTGCCAACCTGTTGCTTTTCGTTTGCATATCTTCTTGCAAATATGGTGAAATTTTTAGTGTAAATATACCTAATAATGTCTTTGGACTGTATGCAGCTGATGAGAAAAGCCAACGAAATGAGCACTGATGATAAAATTTTATTCTACACAAATCGCTGTTGTTCTTGCTTTATTCTAAAAGCATTCCAACTTAATAGTGGCTGCTGGATGAATAGTTCGACGTTCTATCAATTCAGAAACATACAGCCAATAAAGTTCTCATCATATTTGAGTGAATTTAACTCTGGTTACTTAATTTATGCTTTGCTAACTCTCGACTTTAATTAATTGACTCGCATTAATTATATCGTAATATGAGATTTACACTTTTTCTTTAAAAATAATATTTTAGCATACAGTTGGACTACCAGCTTTGCTGCTGGATGCATATTTATGCATACCAAAGTGTGTTTCTTTTAAAAAGTCAATGCTGATTTCATTCCCTCTTGGTATGGCTTATAATATCTAGTAAGTTGTATTTTGCATTAATATTTTAAGATATTAATTGTATTGTTTTGACTGTGCCCATCTCAGTGTTTGACTGCCTGCCTAATATCTGTCTTCCACATGGTAATATCTCTCTTTCATCAAAACTTCACTGTCTACGCCTTCTTGACTGTTTCTAACAAAACAGTAATGGACATCCGAACATATGTCTGTTTTCGACATAGAATTTTGCACATATGTGCGGCAGTTCAAGTCGCCACACCCCATGTAGCACACAAAGCAAGAGAAGAAATTAGGAGAAATGCATATTAGAGAGAGTAAACAGAGGTGTGAGACAAAGGAATAGTAATAACGAAGAACAAAGCAGCTTAATTAGAAATCATAAGTCACAAGGAGTGGATGCATCTGCGCCAGTCATTGAGAACGATTCTGAGCCATGTCACCAATTGTTTCCAACCATTGGTTTTTACCGTCCCGAGGACCCCAACCAGTCAGGAAGTCTACACCTTCCTGCGTGGCTTAGACTTACTGTTGTAGATTTCATTGACTGGTACCATGTTTTCGTTTGACCGCCTCTAGCTCGTTTCCAGCCTTGACCCTATATCAGCTAACATCAGAACCAGGTCATATTCGAACGGATACTTTAGAAAGTATCTAGGCTAGCAGGATGGAACACTCTGTGCAAAAAAACAGGCGTGATTTTGTGAAACAACTGATGCTTCTGTTGAATGGAAACACTCACTCCACATGACTATCATCGAAAAGAGCTCAGAATGGAAGTCAATTGTTTACTTCAAATTTATAGCCTTTGAAAAGGCTTCTGAAGTTATTCGGTAGATACTTCGACCGACCACGAATTGTGGTCTCATAAATATTTACAAATCTCATTCAGCTGCTATATAATGATGCTACACGCCAGGTGATTCACAGTAGGAAGCTAAATGAAGTCTTTGATACAATGAAGACATTAGTTAGACAAGGTTGATTACCATCATCGAATATGTATTACAGATTTTGGCGGAGTGAATCCCCCAGCAGACCATTCGTAGTAGTAGGCAGATGGTGGTAATACGTTGTACTGTCAGGGATTGGCTCAGACTGATCAGGATTTTGCAGATATTTTAGTGCCGTATGTCACGCACACTCGGAGATTCACAGAAGAAACAGTCAAGACAAGGGGAGAATTGGATGTTCAAGGATGACAAATACGAGATCATTATAGCAGGATATAAAAGTTTATGGTTGAGTTATGGGTTAGCTAATGAAAGATGGAAGATAATGGAGTACAACTGAAGTCCTTCCTATCTTACACCGGAAATCTGAGGAATGACCACTGGGACCCATGAAATGTATTGCAGGGGTAGATACTCGCCAATAGACTGGCGCTATGCATGGCGAATTAGTAGAAGTTAGAATTCGTCGGTCACAAGATCCATCACAGTGGTTGAATGATTAGAAAGCTCTTCGTTCAGCCTATATGCCTTGGGAAGAATCCTCGATGTAGTCTTGAATGCAAATTACTGGAGACTCTCAAACTAAGAGGTAGTCCTATGTTTCCAGTGCTTTTCTAGCTGATGTCACCTCGTAATCTTACATTATTTTATTCCTTTTTATTCCTTTGGGTTGCAGGTGAAAAATAGGGCTTCACCAGAACATCTATATTACGTCACGGTGCCTGAAGTCCTCTTCAGATGGCCCCTTGACTGCCCATAGGTTCTCTTATCTCCTCGTTTTACGATCTCTTTTGTGTTATCCTCGGACGCTCAACTCGTCGTTCTCCACCTTTTCCCCCCCGCCGGAGGGCCCGGCGACTGTTTTCACCCGACGGTCTCCTGAGCCTATTTTCTTCGGCATATTTCTTGAGTAATAGGTTCTTGGTCGACTCTTTCCCAGTTTCTTGCTGGTAATTCTTTCCGGCCAGCCGGCCAGCCAGCCAGCCATTTTATCTTCAGTATGGAGCCATCCAAGACAGCTGTTGATAGAACACGTCAAATTTCAGACCCTTGTTAGAAGAAGTGACTAGCTTAGCATTGGTATTGAAAATCCAAATCTTGCTGTTTATGCTGAGTGCAGAAGATTCCAAAACTGATTTCAAAGTGATGAAGGCCTGTCCTGTCTTTTCGATTCTGCTTTTGTGACATTCCCACCCTTGCCATCTGTCTCTAGTTGTGACGACGACGCCTGGTCAAAGTAGTGAAGGAAGTGACCTTTCGTAAATTAATTCTGTTTACAGTAATTGGTGCTTGGTGTTTCATCACATCCATCTTCTTTATATTCACTTGAAGTCCTGTCTTTTCTGTCAGATTCTTCTTTCAGCACATCAGTTTTCTTTTCTATAGTTGGTTTGTAAGGATTAGTTATGTTTTTTGCTGAAAGTCGTCATATATCAATAATCTTCGCAGTCCAGACTATTCTTATTGGTTCAACATATTGCTGTCTTTTCTCCTCCACTCAGACACAGTTTTCCGTATAATCCAGTTCACCACAATTTGGAATACAATCCGTGATAGTAAGTGGGTAGCTTTGTCCTACTAGTGTCCTCATGACAATCTGAGCGCCCGCAAAGAAACACTTGTGTCTGTATCACATACAGTCTGTTCTTTACTTTATACTTCAAATCGATGTCATCACACATCCAACAGCTGTACGACAATGCTGCATGCCAAGTAATCCACAACGGGAAACTCACGGAATCCTTCGGAGTGAGGACAGGAGTAAGACAAGCTGGCTGCCTACTATCGCCAATGATTTTCCTGATTGCAGTAGACTGGATAATGCGACAACTAGCGGGCAACGAGGAAACAGGCATCAAATGGACCTACAAAAAACTCTTGGAGGATCTGGACTTCGCCGATGATATATGTCTGATTTCCCACAAACTGGAAGATTTGCAAATGAAAAGCAACAAGTTGGCAGAAGAAGCATCAAAGATAGGACTTCAGGTGAACATAGAGAAAACAGAGGTAGGTGATGAAGATTCCTGGACAAGAACAACAACAACAGACAACAACCAGAATAGATGGGAGGAACCTAAAAGAAACATCATCTTTTACCTACCTTGGAAGCATCGTTTCAACTACAGGCGGAACTGACAAGGATATCAAAGCAAGAATCGGAAAAGCAGGACAAGCTTTCACTACTCTCAAGTCTGTGTGGAGGTCAACAGCACTCAGCATCAAAAATAACATCCCGATTTTCAACTCCAATGTGAAGTCAGTCAGTGATACTTAACATACGGATCAGAGACTTGCACTGCGCGTCGTAAAGAGCATCTCAAACAAACTACAGACCTTCATTAACAGTTGTCTTCGCTCACTATTCAAGATCAGATGGCCAGAAAAGATCAGCAATAGATATCTCTGGGAGCAGAGCAACCAGGAACCGATTGTGAAACAAATAGGCAGGAAGAAATGGAGGTGGATTCGCCATACTCTGAGGAAACCATCAAGTGACATCACTAGACAAGCCATTGCTCGAGTGTAACCCGGCCGAAAGGGAAGCGGCGGCGAGTTGGTCGTCAGTGCAAGGGTGACTTGGAGGAGGTCATGTGAAGAGGAGATGAAAACGTGTGGGTAGACTTGGAGCCAGGTGAAGACTCTAGCAGAGAACAGAACGCAATGGAGACGCACGGCTGAAGCCCTATGTTCCTCTAGGAATTAAAGGAAACAATAATAATAATACATGAACAATCTTTTATTCAATGTATCAATGAACACAAAGAAGAATTGTTCTAAAATAAAGAACACTCATCAAATTACTGTTTTTCCCTCTCTCTCAAATGTTCATAGAAAAGCAATAAAAAAACTAAGTCTACGCTAAAAGAAAATGCAAAAAATCAGAAAATAGCCAGCAAAAATAAACAGAGAAGAGCAACAACTATACAATATAAAGTTTTGTTTTAATCGACCCGCCAACCATTGAACATTGAAACTGAATCTAAACAAAGAAATGAAAATAATTTGTACATCATAATTTTAATGCATTTAAAAATAGAACGGAAAGCCTGTAGATGGCAAAATTGAAATTCTGTTAGTATCATTGATTTAATGTGTATGTGTGCGTGTGTGTGTGCGTGAATAGTTGGTGAACACTACTAATGGACTGTTGCTAAACAGCGGAACACATGGTTCAGTATCAGTGGACATGGTCTGCGTGTATGTGTGTGTGGTTGTGTGTTTTGTCTTCCAGCTAAGTAATTTTACAAAGCAAGTGAATTATTATTATTGTTCCCTTGGGTTCCTACTGGAACATAGGGCTTCAACTGCACGTCTCCACTTGCTTCTGTCTTCTGCTGTTCATTTCCCCTGTATCCATGTTAGTCCATACTGTTTCAACTCTTCTTCACATGATCTCCTCCATGTCATCCTTGGACGTCCCACTTGCCGCTTTCTTTTCAGGTTCCACTCGAGCACTGGCCTGACGCGCGATGTCACCCAGCGGCCTCCTCAGCCAGTGTCCAATCCATCTCCACTTCCACCTGCATATTTGTTGAGCGATTGGTTCTCGTTTTGTTTGTTCCCATAATTTCTTGTTGGTGATTCAATCCGGCCATCTGATCTTCAGTATTGAGTGAAGACAGTTGTTGATAAAGGTCTGCAACAGGCTGTTGGAAATGTTCTTTGTGACCCGCAAACTTTCTGATCCGTATAGCAAAACTGACCTGAAATTTGTATTGAAAATCAGAATTTTGTTGTTATTGTTGAGTGACGAAGATTTCCAGATTGGTTTCAGGTTGATGAATGTGTTTCTCGCTTTCCGATTCTCGACTTGACATCCTCGTCCGTTCCTCCTGCAGGTGAGACAATGCTCCCTAGATAAGTGAATGAAGTAACTTCTTTCAAATCTCTCCTGTTGATAGTGACTGGTGCTGGGATGTATCTACGGTTAAATTAGGAAATTCAGAGTTCATTTCGGTTATCTCTGATTGTCAGAGCTTTATTTGTGACCTATGATATTACTAATACATTGGACATTTTCACTTATTCGATTTCGTACTACTATTGGTCTGTAATTCCCTATTAATTTGTTGATTAGATATATCACATGCAGTGGGAAACTGGATGACAAAGTGTCGAACATAATTTATTCCTGATAATAATCATATCATCGGTTATAATCTCACAACTTCAAAACTTTCGTTTAGAATTTTCTTTGTTCTTTGCTGTTTGTCGTTGAGGAAGTAGAACTTTTCAGATTTTTGGATGGACAGGTGATGAGTCATTCCTGTTACATGTATTCTCCTCAGTTGATTTGATAAATAGAGCTTCTGTTATCAATCTCTCCCTCCACTCTGCGACATTAGATTTTAAAACTGTCATCCTATCCCATCCTACTGTATAGTTGTGTGTAGTTGCATGTAGAGTGGTGCTACAGCTGAAATATTCTCTAGATTTCTTTTCCTGTTTGGGTCAGCTAATCTAGATTTTGCTAGGTTTTTATGTTCGGCTGGTCTGACTGCCGCTGTTCCACTACTCTGACTTATGCATTTGACCTGACAATCATTCCAGCAGGGTATTAGATAAACTGAATTGTTTTGTTTTAAAAGCTCAACAGGATTGACACTTTAACCGGCGAAGCTTGTTTCTAATTGAGTATGTGGGTGGTTTGAATATCAGCCACTTTTATTCTTGCCTTGTTGAGAATTCTGCGTAAGGTTTTCGAGGTTCCTCCCGTGTATGGAAGTACTGTTGATCATTTAGATTCCTTGTTGTAGGTGTTGTCATTATCCTGAGCATATTTGACATGAATGTTGTCACTAATATTATTATTATTATCACTATCACTACTGCTATTATTTATTTAAATTTTACATTTCCCTACATACTTTCTGATTAATTTATCAGGGTAATTATTAAGTTTCAAAGCTCCTCTTATATATCCTACTTCCTTACATTTTCCTTGGTGCTGTTTAGTTTTTGTGCCCCATTACCTAAACAATTCGATAATCCTATTTTTACTGATATAGGATGGGATGATCAAAACTCTAAATATCGGTTTGAATATGTGGGTGTCCTGTGAACACTAGTGTTTAAATTCTCAGCCTCTTCTTTTTTCACGCTACAATCCCCTTCCTTCCTGACTTTCCAGTTGATGATTGAATTGAATTGCCTCCACCTTCGATTTAATGTGTTCAAGAAATCTGTTTATATCCTGTATTTTAAGTACAGTGAATGTGTCATCTGCATACCTCCTCCATACTTTTGGAATGGGTCTGAACGTTTCAGTCGCTAAGTTTTCCTGCCTATCCATGAATGCATCTGCCACAAGCGGAGATAGTGATGACCCCATGGCAACTCCCTCGGTTTGTTTTTATACTTTCTTTTGGTATATAAATACTGTGGAAGTGAGGCATAGCTGCACTCCAAGCATTATGTCCTCAAGTGGGACTTTTGTCCTAAGTTCGAGTTCTTGGTCAGAAATGAGTTCGTTTCTGACTGCCTCTATAGCCATATTTATCGGTATACGTGTATATAAACTGGCAATGTCAAAACTAACAATTTTTTCCTCACTATCTAATTAAAGTTTCTCTAATCTACGTCTTAGTTCATAAGAATTTGTTAGTCTAGATTTCTGGTGGCTCTTAAGAGGATTTGATACCATAGTTAAATATTTAGACAATTCATAATTAGGTGAATTTCTGAAATCAACTATAGATCTAATAGGGTATCCTGACTTAGGAACTTTAATTTCACTATAAATCCCACTGGGGTTATTAATTTTCGGCATTAATTTAAGTAATTTAAACTCACCTAGGTCCGCTGTGGATTTCTTAGCCTTAATCATAACAGTGTCTATTGATTTATTAATTTCCTCATATGGTCCTGTTTGTATGCGGGTATTCACCTTGTCCTAATACTCGGATTTGTCTAATATTACTGTTGCATTTCCTTTGTCTGGCTTTGTGATTACTCCATCCTTGTTAGTCTTAAGGGATTTTAAAGCCTCCATCTCTGGTTTTGTCAGGTTAGGCTTTCCTCGCTTTTGTCGTTTTAATTTTAGTGCAGATTGTGCTCTTACTTCGTCAGTCGTTGTTTTATCTATCCCTCTTAGTGCTATTTGCATTTTAGGGACGACATCCTCAGGTTTTAGCTTGTCCTCTTTCTAATACATTTATTTCCGTGGGACTTACTATATGTGTTCAGAGATTGATAACCCACTTTGTTATATTGATTGCTGTTGACTTTAGACTGCTGAGCTAATCGTTCTTAGATGAAGATTTCTTTTAGTATTTGATTTGAGTATTCTTTGACTTTAAGAATGTTACTGCGGTTCGATATTACCATAGGGCTGTATTATAAGATCTCTATCCTCGTCGGTAATTGTTCCCATTAATTTTTGCTATAACTCCACGATTTCATCTGTGATATGGTCTGCCAGGTTGTATTGCCGGTCATATCAACCCTATAGCCAGTTTTCTGACTTGAGGGATATTAAATATTACTTAATAATTATCCCCACAGGTTCCAAGTGGGACATAAGGCTTGTTGAAGTCTTATGTCTTTATTGCATCCTGTCCTTCACAGTCTGTTGCTGTTTACCTGCAGAATCGCCCATAAAATTTCATCTCCTTCTCACATGATCCACTCTGTGTCAATGTCAGATGGCCAACTTGTGGTTTCTCATTTAGGTGATACTGAGGGGTTTGCCTGGCGCATGAAATTAGATAACAGTCTCCTCAGCATGTGTGTAATCTCAGTCTTCAGTTTCTTCGGCATACTCATTGGACACAAAGCTCTCGGTAACTAGAGTCGTGCTGAACCATCACGTCCCCTAATTAGCAGTGCTCGCAGTGGAGAAGAATAAGATCGGAAAGAGTGCTTATATTACTCAGACTGAAAAGCACTGTAAATTGCATGTCTTGAAGATTCTGGGCACTATGAATTGATGTTTGAAGACTGCTGGTGACATGAGAAATTATTTGGTTGGAGGATTTCATCATGGGCTGACATCAGTTAGAGAACCATTGCAAAACCTGGGAGTACTGGAAAGCCAAAATTTTTCGTCCTACTTTAAGACTTTTCTACATCTGTACACACCCACCCCCAGCGTTCGAAACCAGGACCTTCTGGTTACAAGGTGAGCTCGTAGACCATTAATCCATTGGGACTCTATCCAATAGTGGGAAACCGTGACCATTGGGGTGCAGCAGGCTGAAGGTGAGGCAGTGACTCATCGAAGAAGAAAGTGCGAAGTGGTATTGCTGTCTCATGAATTGCTAGAAGTTGGAATTCATAGGCCGGACATTGGATTGGGTCCCATTGGGTAAATGGTGGCGTTGTGACCGGAAGGTTCCTGGTTCGAATCCTGGTATTGGGTGTGTACTGTGAAGAGTCCCAAACGAGGACGAAACAGCCGTCCGGTACTCCCTGCCACTGGTTTTCCAGTGGTCCTCTAACTGAGTGAAACTAGAACCCCAAGTGAAACATAGATCTTCCAAGTGTGAAATTTCAGTAACGTTAGGTGCTGTTTTTAAGTGATGGAATCCCTGGTATCGTGCTCAATCTTCTCTCCTTCCTGAGTGTACTACCCACGGGATAAATTAGGCCTGAATTTATTGACTACGATCCTAATGTTGGACTTGTTTTTGCAGTACACTCGTGGAATATACCTTACAGTACCTAGTGCTCAACATTATTCAGTGATCTTGTTTGCACCTTGATCAGTTGATCAACTTCCCTATAAATACTCTTAATGATGCCTAAAGATTTACAAAATCATTTTAGCAATTCCCACTTTTTCTTTTTTACTTTTTCGCTTTCAGTGTTGAAACTGGAATCCTTCTATGGAATACAAGCCCGTATCCAGAGATATTGAAGTATGGATTTCTTTTACGACATTTTAGTTATCTGAGCGTATGGTTAAACCTGATGTTTTTCACATATCTTGGAACAAAATTTGTACAGTATTTAAACAACACCTACAACATCAACAACAACAACAGCAACGATAACCAATCTCAAAATATGTACAAGTGGCATACTGATTAAATTGAATGTAGCGCTATGTAAGCTGAAGACAATCGATTTTAAACAAATATGGTTATTGAAACCATTGAACATTGAAATTTATTTTTTTTATGCTATGCAAAAGCCGTTTTTTCTTTGCAGACTGTAATTTCAGTCAAAAATTATATTTTGCCTATACTAGAATTGATGAAATTATTGTAAATACTTGATCAGTAGACTTTTCTTAACAGACTTTTTCAAATAGTTTTGTTTTCTCTAGTTGGTTTGTTTTAACGAGTTGATCATGGATTGATATCAGTTAGAGAACCATTGAAAACTAGCTAGGAGTACTGGACAGCTGACTGTTACATCCTAGTTTGAGAATCATCGGCAGTAGGCACCCACATCGTGTGTTTTGAGCCCAGGACCTTCCGGTTACAAGGCAAGCTCGTCTACTATCCAGCCACTGGGACCCGGTTTCATGACCAACCCATGGATTCCAACTTCTATCAATTCGTGATTTAGCGCGACTGGCACGAATCAATGTCATCAGTGGGGCATCCATCCTCACGCACTTGACCTCACCAGAACTCAAGGAAACTGCGTCCTGTAGCAAGTCATAAGCAAGCATCAGAGAAGTTTCTGACCTATATCAAGAAGAACTGGCTGAGTGCAGAAGATTTACACACTAATTTCAGAGTGATAATAGTCTCTCTTGTATTTTGGATTCTTGGTTTGACGTATTCATCTGTTCCGCCAGTAGCTGGGACTATTCTTCCTAGATAGGTGAGAGAAGTAACCTCTTTCAGAGAAGTCATGCCCAATGAGGTCCATCTAGTCAAGTGTAAGGATGGATGTTTCACCGATGACATTGGTTCGTGCCAGTCGCGGTAAATCACGAATTGATAGAAGTTGGAATTCATGGCTCGGTCATTGAATCGGGTCCCAGTGACTGAATGGTATACGAGCTTGCCTCATTTGCACAAATATGTGACAAAGTTATACTGTGTTCCCTTTAGGAATATGCTTGACCAATATGAACACTCTACAATGATGGATGTCTAGTGTCACAGAAAATCGAAGACCCACAGGCGAAAACCAAAGATAAATTGGGTGTAGGAGCTGGCCGGCATTGTAGAAAGGGCTTCATCCAAGTGAACATAGGCACTGCAGAGGTAATGAAGATAACTAACCAACCAAGAGCAACAACAACCAGTAACAATCACCACCATCAATGGGAAAGGGTTTACTTCTTTCAATTACCTAGGAAGCATAGTCTTGACTGCTAGCAGAAGAGATGTATGGGACAAAGGAAGAATCCGAAAGGCAAAACAGACCTTCATCACTCTGAAACTACTTTTTAAATCTTCTGCACCCAGCACAACAATGGTAATTCAGATTTTCAAGACTATTGTTAAATCGGCCAATTCTTCTGTGTACGGTTAGAAACTTGGCTAGCACGTCACCAATTGCATTTCCTACACGCCACTGCACACTTTCATCAACATAAACCTCCTTTGTCGGCGGAAGGTGAAAAAAAGATAACTAACCAGTGAAAGTAAACTAGATCCATGTTGAATATCGAGGTTGGTCTAGTTTCCTATGAACAAATAGCTCCAGCTATTTGATGACCAATATACCTAACTCTACACAAGCCGTCCACCAAATCTAAGCATTGCGTACATATATCAGTTCACCTGGTCGTGTGGAGCTAAGTGCATATGTCATTCCATACAGGTCACTTCAAAACGTGTTAGTGAACATTACCAACCATGGCTGCGAAGAGGAAGCACTGAGTCATTCAGAAGGAGTATAAATAAACGACATGACAGCACTTGTGGCAACATCACAAAAGCAATCTGTCAAAGATGGTGTGTGTTTCCAACTTCCTTTTACTGTAGTAGCCATTGCCATATGTGTTGAAAACCTGGAGACATGTACTCAAAGAAACTGGTTCAAATTCTGTGCTCATTATGGATATAGTTTTATTTGAAACTTTAGGTTTTGTTTTTACGTGTTTGACGACGGACTAATATCAGTTAGAGAACCATTGAAAACCAGCTAGGAGTACTGAACAGCTAACTGTTCCATCCTTGTTTGAGAATCATTGTCAGTAGAAACCCATATTGTGTGGTTTGAACCCAGGTACTTCCAGTTACAAGGTAAGCTTGTCTACTATCCAGCCCCTGAGACCTGATTCAATGGTCACTCCATGGATTCTAACTTCTACCAATTCGTAATTTGGCGCTACCACCAACCAATGTAATTGGTTGGATATCCATCCTCACACACTTAACTGGATGGACCTCACTGGTCACGACTTCTCACCAAAAATCCGAGGAAACTCCATATTGTAGCAATTCACTAGTGAGCATCAGAATAATTTTCAATAGTTGATTTGTAAGGATTAAATTTGTTTTTACGAGTTTGACCACTGAAAAGCAGAGAGTACTGGACAGCTAACTGTTGCACCAAAGTGGGTGCGTATTGCGGATGATTCCCAAACCAGGATGAAACAGTTAGCTGTCCAGAACTCCCAGCTGGTTTTCAATGGTTCTGTAACTGATATCAACAGGTGGTCAAACTCGTAAAAACAAATTTAATCCCTAAAGATCAACTCTTGAAAACTTTAGGTTTTATCTGTTTATTTTTTCCTGCATTCATCTGCAATAATAAAAAATCAATTATTTCAATTTTTCTTCCATACTCTTCCCCATTCACACCTGTATTCGTTAGTAAACTCTTTTCCAACACTGTGTGAGTTTGCTTCTAAGCCTCTTATAACTTACATTCTCACCCTCTGAACTTTCACATAAGTTTGAAAATAGCTAACATCTTTCACTTTCTTCCATATTATTTTATTATTATTCCCTTAAGTTCCTAGTGGAACATAGGACTTCAACTGCACGTCTCCACTTGCTTTTGTCTTGTGCTGTACTATTCACCTGCGTCCATGTTAGTCCATACTGTTTCAACTCCTCTTCACACGATCTCCTCCATGTCGCCCTTGGACGTCCCACTCGCCGCTTCCCTTTCAGGTTACACTTGAGGGCCTGAAGCGCGATGTCACCCAGTGGCCTCCTCACCGACTGTCCAATCCATCTCCACTTCCACCTGCATATTTGTTGGGCGATTGGTTCTTGTTTTGTTTGTTCCCATAGTTTCTTGTTGGTGATTCTTTCCGGCCATCTGATTGATCTTCAGTATAGAGCGAAGACAGTTGTTGTTGATAAAGGTCTGCAACGGGCTTTTGGAAATGTTCTTTGTGACCCGCCGAGTTTGTCATCCGTATAGAAGAACTGACTGACTTGACGTTTGTATTGAAAATCCGAATTTTGTTGTTGATGCTGAGTTGAGTGACGAAGATTTCCAGATTGGTTTCAGGTTGATGAAAGTGTTTCTTGCCTTCTTGATTCTCGATTTGACATCCCCGTCCGTTCCTCCTGTAGTTGAGACAATGCTCCCTAGATAAGTGAATGAAGTAACCTCTTTCAAATCCCTCCCGTTGATGGTGATTGGCGCTGGATGTTGCTGCTGTTGTTGTTGTTGGTTGGTTATTTTCATAACCTCCGTCTTGTCTATGTTCACCTGGAGTCCTGTCTTCTCTGGCTGCTTCATCGACCAGTTTGTCGGTTTTCGCATGTAAGTCTTCGATTTTGTGTGACATCAAACATAAATCATCCGCGAAATCCAGGTCTTCTAGGTTCTTCACGTCGATCCCGGATATCCTTGTATTCTTGTTTCCCACTGTCTGACGCATAATTCAGTCCACCACAATTAGGAATATCATTGGTGATAATAAGCACCCTTGTCTGACTTCTGTGTTTACTTTAAACGTCTCGCTGTGTTTTCCGTTGTGTATCGCCTGACATGTGTCGTTGTCGCACATCTGTTGAATAAGGTTGATGAATATTTAGGGTACGCCGTAGTACTCGAGTAGTTTCCAAATATCTTCGTTGCAAACGCTGTCGAAGACCTTATCACAATCTACAAAGTTGAGACAGATTACTAGCTCACTAGTTTTCTAGCCGGTCTCAAGCCTGGATAAAGAGTGAGGGTTGGGGCGTGGTGCTAGCAACTCCACCCCCAAAACTTAACCAAATTGCTATAGAAACTTCAACGCACAAATATATTAAAAATTCTTCTGTATTAGTGGATGAAATCGCCGAGAATGTAGTTATCTTTGCTCCTTACTGTATTGTTCCTTACCCTCTCATTTCCGAATAATATTGTCGCCCAGAGATTTACAAGAATATTGACTTACAGTAATGAAATTTTGAGAGTTCCCATTTCGCGTTGCTCTATGTCCAACTGATAAGCAGATTCAGAGAAAGATATTGAAATTTGTATTCTAAATGTTCCGGAGAGAATCACAGTCTCTAAGAAACATGCTATTACGGGTATTATCAATAGATTACATCTAAGAAGCATGTGTATGACTTAATATTGCCTAAATGTAACATTGTAATGATAATAATAATAATCTGCTTTATTCCAAAAACAGCACTACATATAATGCAGCATGAAATTCTGAGCATTTGTCACTAAAGTGTATCTAATTTACTCAGAATATGACTCAAGTTTACCATGGGAACGTTTTCAAATCTACAGTAGGAATAATGTCAAAAATGTGCGAAGCATAAGGTGAGAAAAATAACTATAAAAATAACAATAGTAATGTTATTAATATCCATGGGTTTTTTCAACCAATACTGTCAATACATTAAGGAAATCTTAGCCTGTTTTACAGCATTGATACTAATGTTCTCTCGATGTAGCATAGTGAGGGGAATAACAAAACAATAACAATTATCATAGAGCTTAAATGAGAGGATTATAAATATAAGAAGAATAATAACAGTAAAGCTTGGTGTTACGAAAGGTGGAGAAAATTGTTTATTTACTAGTGGTAAGAAGATTAGTTAGTCAGTTCGTGCTTGACACTATTTTCATCACATAAAATGCGTGCCGAATTTTTACCTGGAAAGACAAAAGATGAAGGTTGAGGGTAAAGTGGATTCATACAGTTTGACAAAATTCCCTTAAGAAATTTGTTGCATGGAATTAAGTGCCTATCACTGACAGTGTCAACGATATGGCCCAATGGGCCATACTACTCGCCCTACTGGCAGTCTTCAGAGTCCTACGAAGTATGACATAGTCTTTTTCAAGCAATCCAGCAGAGAATAAGGGTGAACAGTAAAGAAGAATAGGTGAGATGCAGGAATTGACAAACTTCAAGAGGAGGAG